GTGTGTGTGTGTGTGTGTGTGTGTGTGTGTGTGTGTGTGTGTGTGTGTGCGCGCGCGCCTCAGTTCTGTATCTGTAGAATGGGTCTACAGCAGGGGTCAGCAACCCAAAGCCTGTGAGTTGAATCAAGCCCATGCAGCCTTTTGATTCAGCTTGCAGAGTCATTGCTTTGGCAGCAGGGGGCTCTGCCTGCATTGTGTCACAGCCAGGTGCCAAGTACTCTGGACAAAGGGGTCTCCCTTTGCCATGTCACAGTTGGGCGGCAGGAAGAAGCAGTGAAGGCAGCCAGATCCTAGTGCCTGCCTTCCTCGCATCCAAACTGAATAATTCGAGATCCATGCCAGAAAACATTGTTGATCCCAGATCTATAGTACGTCCCTTACCTTGTAGTGTGTTGTGAGAATATATGCACCACAGATTGTGTGGAGCTCAGATAGTATAGTAATAGAGGCTATATCGGAACATAACATGGATAACAGGTGAATTCTAAGCTTTGTACAAATGCAGATGTTTTCTAGGATATTTTAATAGCCCTTGTGGAGTAAAAAAAACATGGAAAATTACCTGGACGTTGACATTTTAATACAGAGTGAGAGCGCTTTAATTTTGTCTCTAGGGGGTTTGAATTAATGGACTGAATCAGTATTAATCTATTTTACAGCAAAAATAATAGCCTCTGTGGGATCCTTTCCTGGTTATAATCTTTTCCCTCAGAGGTAGTGCTACATTAAACTTTTCTGTATAATGTATTCTTCTTTTGTTCACTATTTTCCATTAGCACCATGGAGCTTGCCCGTACCTGTGTAGGGACACCCTATTACCTATCTCCTGAGATCTGTGAGAATCGACCATATAACAATAAAACGTAAGACTTAAAAGATATATTTGGTTTAATGTCTTTCACTGCCCCAGTGAAATAAAAAAAGTTCAAAGATAGCAACAACCAACTTTTTTGGCAGGAGTGCTACAACATCGCCTATCACCCTCCCCATATGTCACTCTGATCTCTTTCCCTTTCCTGATCTGCTGCTCTACTTTCTGCTTCTTGCTTTGTGCTTCCTGCCTGATCTTCTGCTCTGATTGAAGAATTACATATTTTGGATATGATGTACCCTGAAAGGTTTGTCTTCTCCTGATGGGTTCTGATGTAGGATTGTCTCCAGCCTAGATTGTGGCTACTTGTCAGGCTGCTCAGGTCCCTTGCTCCCAGTCATTTAAAAGCAGGCTGTCCTTCCATTATTCAGGGATATAAGGGAGACATTCCCTACTCGTAGCATCATGACTGCCAGAAATGGCAAGGAGAGACAGAAGTATAAGGCAGTTGATATGTACAGGGATAGTTTTGGTATGGAAAAGTACACTGAATAATGGGCTCAAGCTTTAAAATTTGACTATAACTCAGTCACCATCTCCATATGCATTAGATTCAGTTAATTCTCTGCTGGTAAACCTGAGTCATTCAACTCTGGCAAGAGTCTGCCTTCAGTGAAGAAATAGGTCAGGAATGGGTTTTACCATTACAAGCACAACTGAAACTGGAGGCAGTTATTTACATTTATGCATTCAGGCAGGCATGTATGACAGGTGAAGAGATCTACTACAAACTAATGGTATTTATTACACCTCTAAAATAACAGTTTTCAAAAACTATTTTACTTTGAATTGTGAACTGTTGAGCTAGTTCATCTGGCACACTTGAAAGTAGTTAATACAATTTTGGCATGATTACAATTACATAGTAATAATACAACTTAAACACAAAGAATGAGGGGCCTTGTTACATACCAGAGACCAGAAAAATAAAATCCAGTAGTTATTTTTGGCACAGTTAGACATAACCTTGCCACAGTATTAACCTTTTAATAGGATATTGTCAGATAGTTGAAGTGCTGAAGTAAGGACACTGCTTATTTGTATGAAAACATGGCAGGCTTTCCTCTGAAATTTGAATTACTTTCATCCACAGGGATATTTGGTCTCTTGGCTGTGTTCTCTATGAGCTGTGCACTTTAAAGCATCCTGTAAGTACATAATCAGTTAGACCATTAACTTGTTATTGAAAAAGGTATTAAACTAGGCAGAAAATAATTGCAATGGGAATATTTCCTAGATAGCTGTTGGAAACAGATATTTTGCAAGTTAAATGAGTATGCATTAGGTCCTAATGATTAGGATATACTCATCAGTTCTTTCACTTTAATTTCTCACACTTTGCCTGTTTCCTGCATATCAAAATGAAGTCAAATACACTATATACACATATAATGTATTGTTTTTTCATGGAGCACTGCTACTTTAAATCCATATGTGGCTGTCACCTCTCCTCTTAAGTCAGATCCATTACAGAGCATTACGTTTTAAAATTAATCTTTTAATGATACCTCCTTCAGTTATAGGAATAAGCCATCAAACTAAGGGAAGAACTGAAGCCAAGTTTCAAATTTAGGTGCTTAAGTGTGGATTTAGGTATTTCATTTTACTTGCCCAGGTTTGAAAATCTTGACCTAAATTTACTGAAGATTTTGAAGTTCAAAATGAGGTAGAGTCCTTGGAAACATTCAAGTAAATGTTGATTTAATTTGGAAGCAATTCAGTGCAAGTAGAGTCTTAACCCTGTACATTTCAGAAAGGAACATTCCTGCAATTGGTTCTCAGCACAAAAGCTTTCTGTTGAATAGGGAGCAAAGCACAGGCTGGTCAGTGTGTCTATAAGTGGACCACTTAAACTCCCCCTCTGATTTAGCAAGGAGGAGAAGAAGATTGATGGAGGCTGACTTGAGGACACAGGAGTGCTACCAGAAGAAGTGCCAAATTTCCTGGACTGGGAAAGTACCTAATTAATATTGATAAAAAATAAATGTATGTGTGCTTCTGTTTCCCTGTTCAGTTTTCTTTCACTGCCTGCATGAACTCAAAAGAGTGGAATCAGTCAGGAGCCCTTGAGTAGCCTAGACAGGGGATGAAACAAGAACTAAGAGATAGGACAGTCTCAGATACACCTTCAAAGCAGCTAAGAAAACAGTGGTGTTTTTATAACAAAATGTTACTTTCACGTTTGTTTTTTCTAGACTTAGTCTCTAAAAAATGAAAAGACTTTACAAAGAGGAGAGAAAATGGTCATCTGTGGGAGGCTAACCCAAAAACTGAGCAAGGGGGCTGCAGCAAGCAGGCTATAATTTCGTTCCCAAGAGAGCAGCAGGCACCAAGGCTAAATAATCTCAACTAGGGGTTTGGGCAGAATGCCAAGACAAGAATCTTTGTATACGTCATTTTGGTTTTTAAATCTGCTGTGTAGAGGTGGTACACCTTTTAGCAAAATGAATCATGAGTTGCTTTGAAGAGACTTATTCTGGGTTACTGCACATCATTACTGATCACAGGATCTCTAACAGTTTCTTGCCCAGTGGGCCTGTTGAATAATATGGTTGATAACCAGGGTAATGTAAATGTGTAAACAGACATTTCATTTGAGGTTTTGACTTGGATGAAAATAGGGGTGGCAAAACCCTTACACATAGCCTTCTACCTTGCATTGCTGCTCCTCTGCTGGTAGGTGGCCAGGGAGAGCACAGAGCCTGATAGACTTTGCCTTGGAAGGAAATACAGTTAAATTAAATGAGCCACACCCAGACCCAGCTGAAGAGTGGCTGCGTCACCTCTCCTCACCCTGTCCTAAAAATGAACCAAATGGATACATGACAGGAATGAGAGAAAGGACAGTTTACACCAGGTACTTAGCCATCTTGCTGCATCCCCTTGTCATTCATCATTGTTCTTAGCCATTTTAAATAGTCACAGTCCATTACCTCCCATACCAACTGCAGTAACTATTATTAATTGATTGTTATATTTTTCTGTGTCAGTTTGAAGGCAACAACATACATCAGCTGGTGCTGAAGATCTGCCAAGGACATTTTATTCCTGTGTCTCCAAAGTATTCATATGACCTGAGGATCTTAATTTCTCAGCTCTTTAAAATATCTCCAATAGATCGACCATCTGTCAATTCGATATTAAAGAAGCCCTTCTTGGGGAAGCTCATTGTCAGATATTTACCCCCTGAGGTAAGATTCTGATTTGGTTCCCTGCACTTTAGTATAATCTTATTAAACAAGATACAGTAGAGGCAGTTACATCAGAAACCTTTTTTTGTTGATAGATAATACAAGAAGAATTCAGCCACACTGTTATACACAGAAAAAGACCTTCGGTAGCACAGCCGGTATCCAAGCTGGTACAGGGTAAGACTTGTTTAGTGACAGTAATATACCCAGTCTTAGTCCTATCCTGAGATCCTTATGGGCAATATATACTAGATGGGTTTAACTTTTCCAGGGGATGAGAACTCTACCAGCAGAAGCATTCAGCCTGATGAGGAAGACAGGCACTGAATGCACCACTGCTTTATTCATATATTCCACCAGGAAAGGCAACTTTCATTTAAGTCTGGGTCACCATAGAAGTTTACTGCTGGAAGCAGCTGTAGGAATGTTCTAACCAGTCATTTATAGTTCAACCTGATAGAATTTACTATGGAGCTAATATGATTGCCAGATAGAAATAATTCAAGGTCATTAGTTTTCAGACATCATTCTTTGACTCTGCTAAAGTAATCTTCATCTTAGCCTGCAAAATACATGCAGTTGCAGCCCCCAATCTTTTTGGAGTACAAACTGTTATTTGTCTTAAATTGCATCATGATTTTGGTATGTCAACTAATTAATTAGGGAGTACCAAACTCACCCCTTCCACGCTGCCCACAAGAGAGTTGTTGTTGTTAATAATAATAATAACAATAATAATAAACTCCAGACCTTTGCTGATGACACTAAGATGTGGGGGGATGTGGGCACAATAGAGGGGAGCAACAGGCTACAGTTGGACCTAGATAGGTTACAGGGATGGGCAGAGGAGAATAGGATGGGGTTTAACACAGACAAGTGTAAGGTGATGCACCTGGGGAGGAGCAATCGGCACCATACATACAGGCTGGGGAACTCCCCTCTTGTCAGCACGGAGGTGGAAAAGGATCTGGGAGTCATTATTGACTCCAAGATGAACATGAGTCGGCAATGTGGGGAGGCGGCTAGGAAGGCCAACTGCACCTTGTCGTGCATCCACAGATGCATCTCGAGCAGGTCCAAGGAGGTGATCCTCCCCCTCTATGCGGCACTGGTCAGGCCGCAGCTGGAGTACTGCGTCCAGTTCTGGGCGCCGCACTTTAAGAGGGATGTGGACAGCATCGAGAGGGTCCAGAGGAGGGCCACTCGTATGATCAAGGGACAGCAGGGTAGGTCCTATGAGGAAAGGTTGCGGGACCTGAACCTGTTCAGCCTTCAAAAGAGAAGGCTGAGGGGGGATCTTGTGGCCTGTTATAAACTGGTTAGGGGGGATCAGCAGGCGCTGGGGGAGTCCCTGTTCCCCCGAGCGCCGCAAGGAGTGACCAGGAACAATGGTCACAAGCTGGCGGAGGGAAGGTTTAAGTTGGACATCAGGAGGCGCTACTTCACGGTCAGGGCGGCTAGGGTCTGGAACCAGCTTCCAAGTGAGGTGGTGCAGGCTCCCACCCTGGGGGTTTTTAAGAGGAGGTTGGATGACCACCTTACTGGGGTCGTTTGACCCCAGTACTCTTTCCTGCCATGGCAGGGGGTCGGACTAGATGATCTGCTCAGGTCCCTTCCGACCCTAGAAACTATGAAACTATGAAATAAAGATATCAAGTGCATGTGCCTGAACAGAGTTAACAAAAAATCTTTGTTGCTGTAAAACTTGCCTTTTCTGGTTTTATCCATTCTTGTTGCTATGTCTAATATAAAAGAGTAAGATTGTCAGAGCAGAGATGGAGTAACGCTGTGTCAGATCATGCTAATGTTCCTGCTGCCTGTACACTCAAAACAAAAATATAACTTAGCTGTTTTGGGGCCATGTCCATGGTTTGCCCAGTGCAGCTATATTACAGTTTTTGGCACTCAATGCACACACAGTACAAGCAGTCAAGTGTGCATTTTGATGGTAGTGCTTCCTGGGATGGTCCAGTGCAGTGTAGATGTGCCAATTGGTTCTTTAGAGTATTTAGTATACTTTTGTGCCCTTAAAAATGCACAGATAATAATCTCGTGTGTAATAATGATCCAGGTTGGTCACTGATATTTTAGTAGTCTGTTATTTTAATAACCCACCCCACATGGAAACACATGTCTGAGCTGTGGTAGTGTCTGTCGATCCTGGATAGGCCTCATCAGCCATGTTCAGACACACAGACAAGACAGTCTTGGAAGACAATCATCCTCAACTGCAAGGGATTGCCAAGATTTTAATAATTAAATGTCACAGACATTTTAATAGTTAATTACTGAGGACCTTATTAGCCAGCTACATTTTGCAAATTAATATGGATTATTAGACTTGATTTTGACACTCACTGATAAATCGGCTGATGCACACAGTCTTCAAAATTGAGATGTCAGTCTTTCGTAACATCTGCGATACTGCAAAAATTCTGTTGAACAAGAGTAGCTTGATCTCTTTCTAATGATCTGTTGTTCTATATATTTGAATTACTCCCCAAAGTTACGTATGTAAACGCGGAAGCAATTTAAGCATTCTTGTGGAGGCAGATCTGGTTAGCTGTGATTTTTATGATTTTTTTATGGGTAAAATTTTCAAAAGCTTCTAATTGAGTTAGGAGCCCAAGTTTCATTTTCAAACGTTGTATTGTCCTTCATGTCAAATCAGTTTTTCAGCTTCTTTTTTTTTAGAATCAGAAAACAGCATTTCACAATAGTTAGTGCCTGAAGTACAAGACTGAGGGTCAGGTTTATAAAGGTATTTTCACAGCTGTAGGTACGGAGTGGAAAGTGTAACTTCCATTGAAATTTTGAAACCTCAGCTGAGCAGGCATGAGACTCAGAACTTTTGAATTCTTTTCTTTGCTCTAGCCGTGAATCACTGTGTGACCTTGGAAACACTTCTCTGTGCCACACTGATTGTTTATGAATTGTGCCCAATAATAGCTTCCTCACACACACATGATGAACCTGACATTAATTAATGTGTTAAACAGCTTGTCATTAGAAAGGCACAATACTTTGGAAGTGGTGAAGATTATTAAAGAGGAATGATATAAATGGGCATTATTAGCCTGTCTAGCCTGTGTCAGATATATGCACCTTAATGTAGTTTATAGTGATCACATAGTAAATATTGTCGTAGTAACTGCCATAAAAAAGAGAAGATCCACATATTTTTTATCATTAAATAAGCTCCTAAACTTCAGAAAGTGAGAGTCGAGGAACACCTTTCTCCAAGATCCAAGGTGGCGGCACCTGCCAAGAAACAAGAATTATTACATCGAAATGAATGGAAACCTCCTTTGCGAGTTCAGCAGCCTCTTGTCCAGGTACTGTGTCTATAAGACTCTCAGATCTCCACAACTTTTTGACATCTTTATCACCGTAGGAAGTCAGAACCTTCCTCTTAAAGACAGAATTCTGGGTAACTAGTTTGGTATTTGGGAAGGGAGGCAAACAAATGTAGTCTGATCCCATTTAAAAGATGTTAGGCTTATTTCCACTCACAGCTATCTTGTTATAAATCTAGAGCAAATCCACTAATGCTAGTGCACTTGTTTCAGGTTCACTTTGGCATAATTGAGATTAGAATTTCAAAGTATTTTAACCTACTAGCTTGCTGGTGTAACTTTAGCTTCGCAGTTCTGTAGGTAACCAAATGAGAAAATCAGCCTGAAAGGATTGAGGCTACGTCCACAATATCACACCAATTTCTTTGACAAATGATATCCATGGAATTGCACACTGAGGGACTTGTTTCTCTCAATTCACAATCCTACTTTGAATTTGTTCTTTAGTTTTTTATGACCAATAAGCTTCTGTTTGTGTGGGTTATTCCACTTTTTGAATAATTTTTCTATATATGTTCTCTATAACTCTTCTATCAGTGAGTGATAAAATGTACAGCTTCTAGTGCTAACAGTTCCCATGCAGCATTGCAGTGCCATGTGCAGAAGAAAATAGCACTTTAAAATATTTATATGCTGTGACCTGGAATGTACAAGATGGAGATGAGTGGAGTCTTTTTCAGTGTTCCTAATTAGGAATACAAGGAGGTAAAACTTAGCACATTTAACACTTAAGAGAATGATAACAGTACTAATTTTTCAATTAGTGTGGAGAATAAGTTTAAATATAGCATATTTCTAGCATAGCATAGTGCAGTCTTCACTTCACCTACTTCCTAGCATACAGTAGTTACTTTAGACTATAGCAGATAGATGTTCCTTATTCTTCTGTTCTTTTTATGAGAAACAGAAAAGGCATATATGGTATAAAGCAGAAATAAAGGAATGTTTCTGCACAAAGTTAAATTTGAGGAATGAGAGACAGGTTACTGCAGGCAGGAAATAAAAGAGATGGTGGTTTGAAATAGCAATGTTCACAAGAGAGCAGCAGCAAGAAGATGTGTGTTGCCCAAGTCTCTTTATGATCCCTTTGCTCACACCTGTCTTAATAAGCCACTCCTGGAATTCGTTCAAGGCTCAAGCCTTCAGTGATGCGGCTGGAATTTATCACAGTGGTTCTAGTGGATTTTGTTTGTTGCTTTCACACAAGCAGTGGGAATTGCCTCTTAATTAAAAGAGGTGAAGTAATTGGAAGTGCTGCAATAGGCAGCATGAGCCTCTGGAAGCCAGAAAGCCTCTGGCTTAGGTGATAAAACATGTGGGGAAATTGTTTTTAACAACTATCATGGGACTTAGTATGAAGGGTAGGATGGGAACTTGCCTTATAAAATGTAACTAATATCCAGTTTATGATATCTTGGTTTAAGAATGAATCATTTATTACCTTTATAATTCATGCTGTTGTATATATTTTCAGCAGTGGAGCCCCAGATTTAAGATGGCTCAAAGGCCAGAAGGAGCCAGAGTACATGGACCTTACGGTCACTATTATGATAAACTTGACAACTTGCAGCAGGAAGCTTATGTACAAGATGACTTTTCTCACTTCAGCCAGAGAGTTGAAGCATATTATAAAGTAAAAGGACAAGTTCCACCCCCTCTGCCCCCTCCTGAGTGGTAATTGTTTTTCTCTATTTAAATATCAAAGTATCACAAATAGCTTGACCCGTCATCCTTTTCCATCACGTAGAAGGATTCAGATGTAGAAGCAGAGTCCCTCATGCAATTTGATCACTTTCCTAGTCAGTGTATGATGTGGTTGTCACATTATATGTGACTCAACAAGAAAGAAAATGAAATGTCTGTACCAAATGCAGCCCTAGAGATACACTTTTGAATCTAATTTTATTAATGTTGAGATTTGTTTATTGTAGGAACTTCTCCTAGACCTCTGTATAGCTCCTAGTCAAAATTCTGGGACTCAGTAAAACTCATTCTGTCTTCACACATGGTCTAGAATGCTTCTGAAACTTTCAAACCATTAGTCAAGGATGGAGGGACTTTTATAAAATAGGTCAGGTTAAGAATGCTTTGGAGCACCAGGTTTACCTAGTGCCTTGTTGGGAAGCTTCAGTTAAAGTAGGCTGAGTCAAAGGGTCTTGTGCAAGAATGGCATGGCTCAGGATGTCTTAATTAAGAGGGATGGATGGCTGAATATAGAATTATTCAGTTAAGGCCAGACTCAATGTATGTCTTCACTGTAGATTGCAGTATAGGGGGAATCCCTTAGCTAGCTTTAAAATGAGCTACCATAGGTTTTGGTGGCTATGTGGCTGCAGATAGATGTCAGAGCAGCCTCCAAAGCCCGTGCAAGAATCAAGGTAAAATATCCCTCATGGAGGCCCATGCTGTCATGACTGGGCTGCTTCTACTTCCCAAACTAGTTCATATAAAGTTGGGTTGCATGTCTCCATATGACCGTGAAGCTTGCATTTTGAACTATCATGAGTGCAGTTTCACTTACCGACCAACAGCAATAGACCAGATTTTTTAAGTCAAATAGTTACGGATCAGAGAACTTTGCTAACTGTTTTGCACTTACAGAAAAACTTCCACGTTAATGCACAGTTAAGTTGGGTATATAAAAAGTCAGGAAGTTAGGGTTGAACATATAACCTTGATTCTGGCAATTCTTCTCCCTATGTGTGAATGCATTACAAAATAACGTTATTTTAGTAACATTGCTCACAGGCTATTTCTCAAATGAAAAAAGAAACTATGGCAGATTTTACAGACTCAGCAGAAGATTAGTATAATCAGAGAAGTGGAAAGGGTAGAGGAAAAATATAAACTATAAACTGTCTTTATACTTCATTGCTGCAGTGTTATTGTTCTCTAAGTACATTCTTTTTACATTTCACATAATGTAGTGAGTTTAGTTAATAACATCTGATAAAGGAAGAAAGATGCAAGTGAGTGGGTGGGTGTAGGGTACCTCCATGTAAATTATTTTGTTGAAAGTTGTTAACACAAATACCAGAGATGAATGGCATGGTTTTTTGTTAGGGCTGGAGAATATCTTCAAAGACGGCTTGAAGCCCAACAGTACAAGATGAAAGTGGAAAAACAATTGGTAAGTAAATACTAGATCAGAGAATAACATTCATATAATGGGAGGGGATGAAGCCCAAGAAAGTGAACCCAAACCTTTCTCATAGCGGAGTATAACCTTGGCAAGTAGAAAATCTGTTTCTGATGTTTTTGTTGATTTACTTTTTCCAAAGTTGCTCAGAAGGTTTTATTTTTTATTGTTAAAAAAAATCTGACAGCGTAGAATGTTTCTACTTATTTTTCTTATGGCCCTTTCAAGGTGAAAGAGTGAGGATGAATTGGGTGAACTTGCCAAATGAAAATTCTTTTGCTCTGTGAATAATCTTGTACATTAATAGGGGCTGCGACCATCCTCTGCTGACATACATTACAACCAGATTCAGAAGCAGGAAAGCAAAGAAGAATGCCTCAAAGACCATCAGCAGGACCTTGCTAGAAAAAACAAATTGAAGGAACAGGTAAAAGACATGTTGATCTTGGTTGGCCAGAGCTGTATTATTATACCAATTTGTAGTGGTATTTTCTTTGTTAAAAGCCACATACATTCACATGTCCATAAGTATTAGCTAGATTTGTGCACAGGTTATGTAGTACTGCTGCCAGGTTTGATAGGCTAGTAAGACAGAAGGATATGCAGGAGCCTGATCCTAATTCTCATGTCACTTCTGTTGAACTAAGTGATGTCCAGGGATCCTAGTTTTCTCTGATTTAAAAAAATCCCCAATTTTCAGTTTAAAAAAAGTAATCCCAAATCCACATTTTTCCATGATCAAAATGAAACACCACTAATATATGGTGTTTCATTTTAATCACAGAAAAATGTGGATTTGGGGTTACTTTTTTAAACCAAAAATTGGGGATGTTTTTAAGTCAGAGAAAACCAGGATCCTGGGTGATGTCACACCACTGTAAGAATAGTGTAAGAGAGAGTAGATCCCCACTTTTACAAACCAAACTAGGTATTATTTTCTTATCTCTTAACTCAATTTTGCCTTGCTGTACAACATAGAGGCACGTCTACATGAGATGCTTCATTGCAAGTACAAAATGACTGCCTCCAAGGAGGTGTACTGCTCCCTTACGTGTAGTTCTTTATGTGAGGGAGCAGTACACCTCCTTGGAGGCCAGCATTCATTCCAAAGAAGAGCGACTTGAAACCCTCTGGGTTAAACTACGGGGGGAGGTGGGGCCTGGTGAGAGAGACCGTAGGTGTATACTACAGACCGCCAAACCAGGAGGAGGAGCTTGATCTGCTCTCTCTAGAACTGGCAGAGGCTGTGCACGCATGGTTCATGGTCATCATGAGTGACTTCAATTACCCAGACATCACTTGGGAGGAACACTTGGCTGAGTCGGATTGGTTGCATTGCTTTCTGACCTGTATTGAAGAGCTCTACCTGCCTCAGGAAGTGCACGGGCCAGCTATGCATGGGCCAACCACTGGACCAAGTGCTTGGTCCAGTGCTTTTTCAACATCTTTATCAGTGATGTGGACGTGGGGGTAAAGAGCTCACTGGCCAAGTTTGTGGATGACATCAAGTTATGGGGGAGCATGGTCACGCTTGAAAATAGACTGCAGATACAGGCAGACCTAGACAGGCTGACAACATGGGTGGATCGGAACCAGATGGAGCTCAACATTGTGAAGCGTAAAGTGCTCCATCTGGGGACAAAAAATCCCCAGCATACTTACAGGCTCAGTGGTGCTAAACTGACTAGCACCATGACTGAAAGTGACCTAGGGGTAATAATAGACCGTAGTATGAACATGAGCCAGCACTGCAGTGCTGTAGCCATCAAGGCAAACAATACTCTGACATGCATCAACTGATGCATCTTAAGCAAAACCAAGGATGTGATTCTTTTGCTTTACTCAGCATTGGTGAGACCACAGCTGGAGTACCACATCCAGTTCTGGGCACTGCACTTCAACAAGGACATGGAAAAGCTTGAGAGAGTCCAAAGAAGAGCCACCTGTACAATTAGAGACTTGCAAGGCAAACCATATGAGGAAAGGCTGAGGGCCTTGGGTCTCTTCAGCCTAAAAGAGAGAAGGCTGAGAGGGGACTTGGTAGCAGCTTACCACTATATCAGGGGAGTACATCAAGGGCTCAGTGAACAACTGTTCACCAGGGCACCCTTGGGAAAAACCAGGAGTGATGACTACAAACTCCTGGAAGACTGCTTCAGGCTTAACACTAGGAAAAACTTCTTCACAGTTAGGGTTTCCAGACTGTGGAATAAGCTTCCTCCAGAGGTGGTACAATCACCTACTCTGGAAATCTTCAAGGGGAGACTGGACTCTCATTTCTACAGCAACGGTTAGAAACAACCTGTGTGCTGCTCAAGCAAGTACTAAATGACTGTGGAGTACCAACTGTGCAGTCGGGGGCATGTGTAGACATGGCCACAGAGATGCTATTTGCTTGCTATATTGAAACCTATAAAGTTTACTTTTATTTTATAAATATTGTAATGGGTTCGGTGATCCTTTACAATAGATAAAACATTTAATAATACTTCACTTTCTAATCAGTACTCAGAAATGAGTATTCTAATGTATTAAGCATATTAGTTGTCAAAACAAATGTAGTTGTATTATCTCGGAACTAGTGTATGCATCTGTTACATGCTCAAAAGCTGCATGAAAGAAGCTTGCGAAGTCAGATGGTAACATTTCTTTAGGAACATTCCAGAGCAACCTTAATTTGTCTATTTTGTGCATGTGTATTGTAATACTGTCTTTAATTATACAATCACATATTGATTGTTCCAGAGGAACCGCTGCCTCTTTTGGTGCAAATGATAGGCAGTTCTCAACTAATGAACAGCTGTTTGATATCTTGTTTTCATCTCATTGTCCATTTTGTGGCCCTAAGTTTTCTTTACTGTGTGCTATTTAAACCCTGCTGTGAAGACAGAATGGCTAATTTTCTCAAGGCTTTTCCTATTGTGCTTTTAGTATGTGAGCATTTCATGAATAATTTATCTTTACAACATTCTTGTGAAGGAGTAGTTTTATCTTCATTGTACTGGTAGGGAACTAAGGCACAAGATTAAGTTAAAGCATCCACTAATTATGGATGTCTGGTTTGAGACACGTATTACCTGATTTTTCAGACTCCTTAGTATTGTACTACAAAGTTCGTATGTTGCAAGGACACCTCCCATTGACTTCAGCTGCAGGTGAGAGTGTTCAGCACTTCCTCAAACCATGTCTTTGCATCTCCAGCAGGGACCAGAAGATACAGCTAAGAACACAGTCAGTGACTCCTATAAAGTCTGGTTTTAGTGACTTGACTAGCATTGCAGTGGGATTTGACTAGGAGTGCAGTGGGACAAAGATAGAATCCAGTTCTCTAGGACCACATTCATTACCTTAATATACCATTCCCTGCCCCATTTATTATACATCTTCCGACTTCTGCAACAAAAGAAGCAAGTGTCTTACAGACAACAGCCTCATTTAGACACAACCTCAGGGAAAATTTATCCTGTGGAATGAATGAGGCAAGTGTACTGTGGGGAAAATAATGTGCTCAAGACTGTATTGTAATGTATAGATACAAGGGGACTGAATTAAAGTTGTACGGAATCTACTAAATGCTTTACTTTGCAACCATGCTACTTGGGTCATTAGCAGGACTGGAATTTATAGATCTATTGTACATACCTCTTATATTTGAACGAATAGAGTAATCAATAGCAGTAGTAGATTAGTATCATCTGTGTGGACCAGCATTAGGGAAGAATAAAACATTTTACTAGGACTTTACTGGTATTCACTGACAACAAAGAATGGATTACTCGGGCACCTTTTGTTGCATTCCAGGCTCCAGAAGAATGAGAGTTGGTGGTCTGCGTATGTTTTGCCTAAGATTGACAACTTTTGCACTGTTCCCTCCAATCTGTCCCTGTTTCAATATCTAGCTCAGTCCCACTCACAAAAATTTCCTTGCCTAGCCAGCCTAACATCCCACACCTCATCTTTTTAATTCTAGAGTCCTTGCCCAGCTAGTCGCAGTCTCTCACACTCACTCACTCTTCTTTGTTCTTCCAGCATCTGTGCCCAGCTAGTCCCTGTTCCTCCTCTTCATTAGTCATCATTAGATTACTATTTTCCTTAGGGGTGCACTGATAGAGATTTTGGGGGCCGATACCAATAGCCA